TTTAGTTATCTTTGTCCTAATTTTTATAATAATTTACCAACTGAGCTCCGGGACTGCAAAATAGAAAATACATTTAAATTTAAGTTAAAACGATATATTTTAAACTCTTAGCCGTTGTTTATTGCAGTTTTATTGAGCTATTCTTATTATTACATTGTTTGATTTTTATTCTATATTATACTATATTATATTACATTATATTATATTAGGCTTAAATTAAACTTCTATTTTGAATTTTTTTTTTTTTTTTAAGTCAATTAATACTTTTAAGAGATTGTATGTTATTATTATTATTATTATTATCATTATTATTATTGTTATTATTATTATTATTATTATGTTGTAATGATGTTGTTTGTACTGTTTTTTGATTTTATTAAAGAGGGCCCCTGAATATCAGTTAACCTACTGGGCTAAACTGGAAGGGTTACCCTCTTTAAAGATGGTTGAAATAAAATAAAAAAAGTTGTGCGAAAAAGCGTTTGATTTTAACCCATTAAATATCTTTATAATAAATAATGTTACCCTGATTGGATTTTTTCGGACTTTTAGTATGTTATTATGTGTATATTTCGGAAACAGATTCCGCAAAATATTTCTGTTAAAATTACTTCTGTGTTCATTATAGTTTTGTCTAAAGATCAATTTGTTTGACTATAAAGCTAAGGCAGCGTAAAACTGAAAATTACTCTGATTCTGGATTGAATTTTTGAATAGTTAACCCTCGTTAACCCTAAAATGACTTAGTTTATTATAATCCTCAATCATTCCTTAATTAATATCTGTTAAAATTTGGAATTATCGAGTTTTATCCAGTTTATGGAAATTCAAGTTGCAATATACCATACTTTTAAAGCTGATGTAAATGTTTCATTAAATTCGAAACTCTTTTTAGAAAATATTATTATGTTTGGTATTTCTTGAAAGATCAATGTATTAGCTTCAATCTTTTGGTAATCAAAGCCTGCTGAGCATTTGGTGGCGGGGAACACATTAGACTTCAAAGGCATCGCGCAAACGTTCTTCACACACTGCGGCAGCTTTGTTCTTGGTTCATTTGCATAGCTCTGCGTGCGCATAGCTTTTTCGAGTGATCTCCATCTCAATAATACCTTCATGTTTTGACTAACGATTTTTATTTTTTTAAACACACAAGCATTTCGCTAGCTCAAGCTATCTGCTTCAGGTTAATATAGGAAATAAAAAATAACAATCCAGTCAAGATATGCAAGTGAGGAGGGGTGGAGTGGGGGGGGGGTCTCTGATAGGTAACAAAGGTAGTACATAATTATATTACTACCGAATTATATTTAAAATACATACTGTACAAGTACTACCGTATTATTAAAATCTTGTACTGGAAAGCGGTGGTGCCTGAAATTTGCCGATGAGGGGTCTGACAAAGGCGTCCGAACCAAAGGACCGACGAAGCCTCGGTTGACGGCCTGGAATAAAAAAAAAAGCAACTCTAGTTAAAACAAGTTTTCCCATGTTAAAATAAAGCTTATTATTTTAATATTAATATTATTATTATTATTATTATTATTATTATTATTATTATGTGATATATATTTTTGGGTATATTAGTAATTGCAGATGGCTATTAATACTATTTTTTTTCTCTCTGAAGAATTTTTACATTTGCTGAAGTGTCTTATAATCAAGCTTGTGAAAGAGAAAGACAGCAGAGCACATGAGGCATCTCAATGGTTGACACGAGAGGCACTTGACATTAAAGAGGTTCAAGAAAGTGGAACATTTAGGTGAGTTTACATTACTTATCTAAATAGATATATGTTGCTATAGCAACTTTCTTTGAAGATTCAAAGCACTTCTTTTTAAGGTCATGGGGTCATTATGGTTAGGTGTTGCTGCTGTAATCAGTGTAGGAGCAGGCAACCACTTGTGTATCCATTCATACTCTAGGTGGAGAGGGCGAATGAAGATAAAGTTCCTTACTCAAGGACGCTCAAGGGATTTAAATATTGACCTCCAGGTCGAGAAACTAAACCCAAACCAACCACAGCCAACTGTTCTCACTGTGCTAAATTTCTTTTGTAATTTTGTAATGTATTGGTTTGTGTGGAATGCACTGCTGTATGAGCAATACTCACAGTGCGTGGAGGTGTTTGCAGAAGTATTAGTCTATTTCGAGAATACTTACCTGTGTGAACCGACTAATTGCCATTGTTCCCAAAACAGAACACCCCTTCGAAATAGAATAGAACAGCCCCACCCAAGGCGCCATGTACGAACCGTCTCCCTAACAATCTTCCTCATTCCCTATTCGACGTTTGTTGTCGAAGGGTCTTCTGTCGTTATGTCTGCGCGAAAGTGGTTATGCTCGGCTTGTGGGGGCCCTTTGTGTTGCTCTTGCAGCAAAGCAGAGCATTGCAAGGTTTGCGTGCGATGGCCCCCTACTAAGTTTGCGGCAGCGGTTGCAGAAGTATTATTTTTAAGTATTTATTTTTATGAAAATAACATCTTTTTATTCACACAGACAAGCCTGTTGGCAATGCTTAACAGCAACTGTAGCCCCATTCCTGGCTGAAGTGATCGCCATCTGTGACATCAGCAACAATCTTAGTCTCCTTAATAGGCAAGAAGCTGACAACGCTTGGCTGCACAAACTTTGGCTGAGCATCTTTTCATCTGTAGATCTGATTAACATCAATTATGACATGTGTTTGTCTCCTGTGGAGAAAGTCCAAAGGTCTGAGGTGTTGCTACAAGAGAAAGGATATGGTGGCAAGTCATTCAAGGCTCTCTTTCCATTCTCGTGGATTATAAAGGCAAAATTAGATGATATTTGGAAATTTGTTTCGGAAGCCAAAGGTTAGCCAGATTTTATGAAATAGTTTTAGAAATACATCTAGTATTGTTACTATGTACCATTGCTATAGTTATGTAAAAAGGGAGAATATATTTTTCTTTTAAATCTGTTTAACATTTTATTTAGCATTTATATTCAAATCAGCAATTTGCACAGAAACTTGAATATTCAATGATAAAAATGTTTACTTATGATTTATAATGTTTTTTGTTTTGGAAGTTGAAGCAGAGGCAACACCAGGTCAGCAGTTTTTGAAGAATGTTGAGGAATCTGAAGTTGGAATGAAACTCATGAAAGCCATCACTATTGGTGGAGCCCAGAAGGTTGTCCAACTCTACTGCTCAGATTTCATCCGAATGACTTGCAAGATCTCCCAAGAAGATGAGCACAAGGTACATAAATTATTTATTGACAAGCGGAAGGTCTTCTATCCAAAAGTAGTTGATTTGGAACCCTGTGATATTAAAATATATCTTTAAACAAATCTAATATTTTTGTTGTTTCAACAGTTGATCTGCGACTATATAATAGATGCATCCTATTTAATTGTACTAGAGCTTGGAGGTCAAGTTGACAGTGTGAACTCAGTTGCTGCTGTACATTTAGCATTTAGCAGATTCCAGGCAAGGTTTGAACATCTCTCACAGCTTGTTGGTATCTGCCCAGATGTCTTGAATAAAGAACCAGAAGAAAGATTAGATACAAAAGAAATGGTAAGAGCAGTAAATCCAATGTGTTATTTCTGTACTGAACTGGAATATTTTTTGAAGATGTAGGTAACTAAGTACTTGTTTCTTTTGTTAAACATTGGAAAGACTGTTGACGTCACAAGTCTCAGGTATATCCTAAAAGAAAGTGATGGCAATGGGGGCAAAGATTTCAAGTCACAAGAAGGACAAAGAAACTGGTTGTACAAGATCAACACACTGTGTCCTGTAGTACAAAGTATGATAGCATTGTACAAGAAAAAAAAAGACATTTTTGGACCAAACAGCCAGATAATCCTAGAGGAGTGCAGGTAACATTAATCTTGTATACTCTTTTATACCAAATTCACCTACTGTAGTTTGAATCTCACTGTTTGTTGTCAAGTTTTTGATGGTTTTCTTTTTTAATTTATTATTTTCTTTATGATTTTTTGTTTTGTTTTCATGCATTTTTTATTTTATAAATCCTTAAATGATTTTAATTCTTTATATGCAATTCAAATATAATAGAAACATTGCAAAACAGTATTAAAAACATGAATGCAATAATTAAAAAAAACACTTTAAAATACTTTCAAAAATTACAATGGACCTAATGAAAAGAGATAACAAATAAAGTAAAAATGTTTATAAAAATTTAATAGAGCAGTTTCACACGTGAACAAATATGTGTACACATATTTATAGCTATCCGTAACTGTTTGTAGCCATGCTGTGTTTTTCACAGTGACAGCAAAATTTAAGCATCGGGTGAAGGGCCTAGGCCGTTCAGTTTTGGTATGCAAGGTTTTCGAAATTGGAAGTGGTAGCCGAATAATACTACTTTCTATGTTGTTCAGAAGAGTTGGTCATTTAGTAACCCAAAAAATGCCTGGCTTTAATACCTCAAAATGAGACGCATCCTGTAGTAACTTGCTGTCTTCAAAAGTCACAAAAATTGCACGTACGTAATAAAGATACGTTTATTTTTAAAACTTACTGTAAAATATAAAAAAAGAAACGAAGATCCTTCTAGAAATCAAAAAGATTTTCCTACGCGTTTATCACGTACATCTAGTGTTTACGTCCATATGGTTAGCGGCGTATAGCGCCATGAATGATGACGCATACGAAACCTCCCTAATAACAGAAAATAATGTAGCCATGCTTCAAAGATAAAATAAACCAGAGAGAGAGCAATTGAAGCAAATTCCCAAATCCCTTAAATAAAATGTTATTATAGTATGCATTGAGTTCTGTCAAGAAATTATAAATGTTAAAGAGTAGTAAGAGCAGTAAATTTCAAATATCTGCAGGATTAGTCTCTTTTGTTTCTTTTTCTTTGTTGCTTTACTGTCGTTTTGTTAAGGTATGAAATGATGGGTAAAATAATTACATATAAGTAAGTGACCTGTAATATATAAATGTCAAATTTGATATAGAAAACAGTTATCATAAATTTCCATTCTCTTAGATGTTTGTGGTCGAGGATTACTGTGATGAAGCTGTTCTTTGAGCATGTCTGCTTGCAAGATAAAGGATTTGCTGATATTGTTTTACCTAAATGCAGAGCCCTCTGGCTGGTATGTACCTTAAATAAACTTCAACATATAAATACGGTTTACATATTACAAACTAGTACTATAATACAATATTGATATATTTTCTTTCTAGACATTAAAAAAAACAGCGAACTTGAAGTTGAATACCTCTATTGAGGGCTTAGTGAATATCCTGAACGTAGCTAATATGAAAGCTGGCAAAAAGTACTACAAGTAGGTTTAAAGTTTTTTGAGAACTTTTAGACTGCAAATAAGGTGAATGGATACAGTATAACAATTTTGAAAATGATTAGCGATGATGATGGCAGCCTACCATGTCAAATACAATTCATCAGCATCATCATCTTCATCATCACCAAACATTTCCATCATCTTATCATCTCCATTCACCCTTTTCCATTTCCGCTTTTAATTATATTGAGTAATAAATTATTTTATATTTAATTTACAAATACAGTAATTGTTTTCTATAAAGTAACGTTAATTAAAGTGGCTGCAGTGATATATAAAATATAAGTCAAACAACATCATGCTAGATTTACAATTGAGATAATGTTTTGCAGGAGTGGGATTCATCACTGTGAAATGTGTGACGAAGCTATTACAGATCCTGTTCTCCTGCCGTGTAAGGAAAAACATGTTTTTTGTAAGGTGTGCATTGAGGGATACTTTCAAACAGAAGGTGCAAAGAGATGCCCAGAATGTAGAGAGGATCTCCCTCTATCATTTGAGTGTAAAGAACAGTCTGAAGTCAGGTGAGAAATTTGAAGTAGATCATAACATTTAATGTTGAATCCCGGTCATTTATTACATGGTATCGTAGCTGTTGCATTCTAGGATCCTGTTGGGGTGGTGGGTTTTGACGTGGTGGGTTTTGACAATTCTTTTGTGTGTTTTGTGACCTATAGTTAAGGAAGTATTGGCTCAAATTAAGTAAATTGTATGGAAGCAAGAGGGACTAAACAGTTTTTTCATATTTTTGTACAAAATATCAGATGAATGAAAGGCTGGACAAATTGATAATGCTATCAGAGTCTCCTAAAATCAATAATCAACATATTTAACTGCTGTAACTATCTTGCATCTTTGTTCCTCTCTTTCTTTTTCAGTGAGGTTGTTGCCCAGCACAATGCGTTCCGTCAATGTTGTAACTCGTTTTTCATGGAAGTTGTGTCCCAGCTTTGCTTTGCTGATGGAACCCCACCAAGTGAAGAGGTCATCAAAAAGTTGCTGGGATATGTGACAATAGATTCCAAAAAACAGAAGAGACGTGTGACAAGGAATGTTTCTCCTTTCCCAGAGGACTGTATCGATCCAAATCCTGTTGTCAGATCTTTTCTACTCCAGCTGTTGCTTCAGTCAAAGTGAGATCATTATGATATTACAATAATAGATGGTGGTGGTGGTGGTGGTCGTGATGGTGATAAATGTGGTAATGTTGGTTTATGGTGTTGGTTCTGGTAATGTTGGTGATATTGGTAGTGGTCATAATAATTCATATTTTATTACAGCACCAACCCCTAAGCTCCATAATTTCATCATGTACTTAAATCATAAAGATCATGCTGATTAATTTGGAATAAAATTTATGTTGTAGTAATCCTTGCAAATCCAGAAAAACAATCCCTAACTACAGTATCTGATTATTTTAATATGCTTTACTAGTTTGGAAACTGTAAAAGAGCATGTACAAGAGTATCTGATGAACTCAAGAGACCTCATGGAAAGATCTGATGATGATGTTGTCAGCCTCTGCAGATTGTTTGTCAACTGTCTAGAAGTAAGTTATCAATCTTCGGATTTAAAAGTTCCTGTTACATTCAATTACAGTGTATTCATTAAATTTGTAATGTTTGTAATATTTGAAATTGACATTCAGCAGCATCATCATCTGTCATTAACCTGTTAGTGGAGGTTTTAATCTCTGTTGGTTGAGAATTAAATAAATAAAATAAGTATTAAAAAAAAGTGAAACACAAATAACTAAAGTGATTGGCAAATTTGTCTTGAATCCCACATGTGTTTTTTAGCAATGCACTTTATCTATACTGTCATCTCTCCTTCCAGGAGTACCAGTTGGTACAAGATTGGATTGTATAATACTCCCTAGGCATGATAGAATGTCTTTGGAGCACCCATAACAAATATCTGAAGATTAATAATTTTGTCTCTTTTCCATTATGTGCCTTTTCTCATTGTATAGGGTTTTCTCCCTTTGTTTCTTTTTTCTGAGCACTCCCTCAGATTGGCGCGTTGAGACTTAATGTGTCTTATAAGGCGAAGTTTGGATAGGATTGGATTGGAATTTTTGGATACTGTATTATCAAAATCTACTTCAATAGTGGAGGTGGCGCTTCCATCTATCATGTGACTTATTAAAAGTACATCATAAGATATAAACCTGATCCTGAAAAAGGAAATAATGAATGTGATATACATCTACAGTACTACAGTCAGCACTTCCATTACCCTCTGAAATGAAGCATACCAAACAATTTCATTCCTGCTCTCCATGTGTTTCAGTTAGATTTAGCTGAATGCAACTTTTTAGAGTGAACTTTAATTTACACTAAAGAAATCCAGATTCACAGAATGTATTTATTTCCAGAGCAGTATCAATCAAAATCCTTTCAGCTCATAATAAGCCAGAATGCCCAAGGAGAGATATCAATACCAACACAATTAACATCTCCCATCCTAAATTAGTAATTCAGCGAAGATTATTTTTGTTGTCTGACAAATTCTTTTCCAGGACACGTACTACTGTGGTTTTCCGCAAGACTGTGATGCAAAACTCATCCAATTACTCCTCGGCGATGCTCTTGGGAAACTTGAAAATGCTCACCATTTTTTCAACGGACATAATGCCACTGCAGACCCGTTAAGTGTCGAGTTACTTGAAGCAATATCGCAGAGTCGTTTTGCATTGACAATGCTCGCTGACATCATTCAACGCCAACAAGATCAACAATTCTACAGTGCAGTTACTATCAAGCGTCTTGTAAGTCAAATTTAAATATTGATTCTTACAATAGATATGTCTTTTTGAGAATACTTAACAGGTTTACCTAGATTAAGGATAATAGCTCAAGAGACTATATGACAGATGAATGAATTACAGTATTTACAGTATATGAAACACTTTTTAACAATCATATTATTTTGTTGATAGGTTGCTATGCTGGCAAGGGAAGCTAGAAGATTCTGTGAGCAGAATAAACAGGCACAGTTGTATCTTGTGAAGTACATCTGCAAGGCTTATAGCAGAGATGCTTTAACCCGTCTGAAGGGTGACGAACAGTTTAGCTGGATCTTACCAGATGAGTTGAAAGTTCAGGTACTCTTTGCAAATCAAAGTCTATTTTGTGTATATGTACCTGGATAAACTGACTAATTGCCACTGTTCCTTTATGAACACCCCTATGACAAAAATAGAATCGTCTGACTGTCCTAGGGCGTAAAAGTCTCATGAGTTGATGTGTTACATCTCCGAAATACAACTTGACTTGTCTTTATGTTTGACAACAATGCAGTGATACTGGCTTTTGTAGCCAAACTGCTAACACTCTCCTCCAAAGGACATTTTGTACATGCTCCATTTTATCAGGTCTGTTTTAAAACAGAACCTCTTATGTCTCGCAACTTGGGACTTCCAGTGGCCTAGCCTGAGCAGCAGGCTAATTACAATTAGAGCACTGTGCAGTCGATAATGCAGCTAGAACTTTTGCAGCAGTAGACAACACATACAATCGTTTGCTAATTACTATATTTTTTTAAATTGAAATGGCTTTTCAAGACTTAGACTTGTTTTTAATATCAACATTTTGTGCTCATTAGTAATTTAGTTTTATCGTTTAATAAATCAATGATAGTAACTACGTAGAGCGAAATGCTAGGCCTCTGGAAGTCACCCAGTGGTAATTGTCAGTCTCTTGGAAATTTTCATTTCCTAAACTGGCTAAAATGGTGTATAATGAAAATGATGAAAATATGGTGAAAATCACCTATTCAATTTATGATTCTAAATTGTTCATCCTAAACAGGACCAGAACATCCCAGATAATTGTGTCATTGTTGGCGAGATGTACATCAGCATTCGAGAAGCTATTGGTCAATGTATGGTTGACAAAGATTTTGAGAAGATGTTCAAGACTGTGACGGTACAACAAACCTTTTCCCTTTTTTATCTTTTTTCAAATATATATGTTCTAAAGCTTGGCATTTTTAGAATGAATTTTTTCAACAAAAATTGAGGAGCAGTTTACAGTATTGTTCGTTCATATGTTTCAGAGATACATCTAATAATTATATTACAAGATTCAAGATTCATTCAAGATTCATTCTTTCATCATCACAATTATTCTAATCTTTTAAAATAAGCATTAAATTTCTAATAGATGCTTGATGTTCTTTTGTGTGTTGATGGTTTGATGTAATGTAGTTTTTTATGCCAAAGTTTCAAAGCGCTCGTACAGTATTATTTGCTTCTTTCCGAAGGGTCTCATCATGTATTAGCTACCCGGTAAACCGGTACTTGTCTGTCCAATACATTACATTTCCAATGTACATGAATTTTGGTTTTCCTCTTTAGGATGTGAAGGTGCAGGAGAAGGACAAGGAAGTATGCTTTCTTCTTGCTTTATTCAGAGAGATCACAATGAATGCCACAACAACTGTAGAAGCCAAAAGAATAAGTTTGGAGGTAAGGCACAATGTCGAACTGTCTTGGATTTGAAGTCAAGATACTGGAATGCAAAGCCAAGTACAGTACCTTAGCCTCAATGAGCCTAAAGTCTGGATAGAGCTTTGTAGTTATTTGCTTGATTTGCAATACTAGTATCCATTTTTTTTTTTAATTTGTGATACAAACAGATTTATGTTATATATAGATATGCTATAGAAATGCAATTTATCTTTACTGTTACTCTTCACCAAGGAGTGATTACATGGTCGTAATGTAATTTGTGCACAAATTGTTTATGATTTTCTTGACAGTAGGACTAAAACAGATTCCCTCAACTCTCGCTGCAGCAGATGAATTAAGACTTAAAAAAGGAGGAAAAGCTGTATTGTTGCTGTTAGAATTATATAATGTATATTTGATTGTATGTTTTTTTTTTAATCTTTAGGTGAAAAGAGAATTTGGAAAAATTATCCAAAACATGCCATTCCTGAAAAATAAGGTGAGGGAAAGAAAAAATAATGTTACAGTTCTTAACTCAAAATGATCCAATTACAAATTATTCAACAATATGGGTAGGTTTCATATAACTCCTGCACACTCAAGATCTCTTCATGTTAGATAGTATAGCCATTAATCACAAGTAATTTTATGGAAGTTTACACATGTTATTTGTTAACCATTCAGGTTGTTGCAGACACATTGTTACAAAACAGAGGACAAAACCACCATGTTCTTAAGGTCACTCCTGGATTACACCTTCAAGACTACAGCATCCAGGCAGCTGTGACCCATCTTCAGATTGTTTTGAATGTAGTTGAACGGGAATCGTTGACCCAGTGTCTGGCAATGTTGATGAAATCCCCAACTCAAATGCAGGTTAGAATTGCAATTGTTCTTTAAAATAAATAAACTCCTAGATATTATTGTGACACTTGTTAAATATTTTATCAGCTTTGTGTTATTGTCTAATAACTATTTTATGTTCCAGCAAGCTTATTTACCAGCAATGCCACAAGATGACCGTATGGAAGCAAGGGCAGCTCTACATCAAGCGTCAAGAGATCAGAACTTAACTTGGTACCGTAAGTAAAATTTAAATCTTGCTTCAAAATTCCGACAGTTACGATGTTCTGGAGGTGACAGTACAGTGGCGTCATGCAGTTTGTTGGGCCTTGGCGCTGACTGTTACTGGGGCCCCTGGTGGGGTCCGAGGGGGCTATTGCGCTCAGAGCTTATGCCATTTTTGAATTGTTAACTGATTTAACATAGAATGGTCCATGACTGATGAAAGATTTCAGACAATTTTATGACAAAACCAACATAGATTACATAGGCCAACTTTAGGAACTTATAGGCCATACAGTAGGCCTATGTACTCTATGTAGGTGTAAATAAATACAGGAAATATTTTAGTGAGAAACAAAACATGATTTCATAATGTATATGCAATTCAAAGCAGATTCATCACAAAATTAGAATTAGATGTCAAACATCAGAACCCAGCTTTTTGTTTAAAACTGTCGGGGCCCCATTGAATGAAACTATGGTATTACAGTTTATATTATATTTTTTAAAACTGCAATGTCAGGTCCCACCCCTCATCAGCGCCCGAGCGTGACACCACTCTGACGATATGCTTGTGAACAGATAACACTGTAGAAGAAAACGTGATGGTTGATCAAAATCAACATTACAGAAAATTAACTTCCATACTTGTTTTGTTAGCCGTCCTCTGTCTTGGGGACATCAGGCCATCATTGACTGATATTAGTTGATATATACACTGCTTTTCACAGAGGGAGACCAGCAAATTCTGTGCATCAATGCTTCTGTCTCTTATACACATCTATACATATTATCAGTATAATGTATACCTATTACAAATAACAAAAACAATGCCTGAATTGACTGACATAAGCTTATATTGATAAACATAAGCATAAAAGGTATGTCAGTATATTAATTGTTTTTTCCACAACCATACATTAACATTTCTGCATTCTATAACAACCTAGCTGCTACAACTTTATTCTTATTCTTTATTGCCACAAACAATGCAAAAACAAACACATACAGTCAACACAGGGAATAGGAACCAGAAAGTGAACTAAATCACTGTAACAAAAGTTTAAGGTTCCATACTCCCAAAGTTACAAAAAAAAATTAATGTATTTCTCTTTTTTTACGATGTTCTGCTGACATTTTAAAAAGTAGATTGCTAATATTAACCAGCCTAACCTAAAGTTTTTGGTGTTATTTAGATCTAAAAATTTTCAATACGTTCTTACCCGTAATCATTTTTTTTTCATTAACAGAATGTCCAAGTGGTCATCTATACACCGTAGGAGATGTGAGTACACTGGAGTAAAAAACTTTAGCATTTGTAACAAGATTTTATTTTATTTAAAAGAAATGTAGAGCAGAGTCTACAGCTGTGGAAAAAAGTAAAGAAAGTTTTACAAATAGTTTACAAGTAGATTTTTGAAGTTTTTAATAGATCTTAAATTTTATGATTATAAACTTCAAATATTCCAGCATTATTAAAATAATCATAATATTATATTTTCAGTGCGGCAAACCATATACAACAGGACGATGTCCGGAGTGCAATGCGCAGATTGGAGGAGAACAACATCGAGCTCATTCTGGGAACACGGAAGCAAAAATGTACTTTAATCTTTACTATTATCATGTACAGGATTGACTAATTGTCATTACCTGTAATAATTATTTATATTAAACACTCTAAATTTAAATATTACTGTAATAATAACTAGCAAAAAGATCAATCTTGGAGTGTGTCATTACTCAATAATTTATAGATACCAAATGCAAGATTATTTTTTAGGCCATATACTGTATATGTCGAATGGCATTTTTGCTACATTTACAATATTAGAACAGCCATTATGCCATTGCATTTACGTTTATTGTAAATGGAAGAAAAATTACCTTTTGAATAAATAGAACATTCTGAGCCAATAATTTATAGGTATTTAATAATAATTCAATCAAAAACATACGACAATGTATCTTATAATAACATGATGCCACATATAAAATTTGACTTGTATATTTTGAGGATTTAAATAGTCCCTTATAAAGTTTATTTTGTAAACATACACCTTGGTATCAGCAGCAGTCACTTAAGTGATGTGTTCGACTACCCACTAAATATCGCCTAATGCAGTGGTACCATATAACCATTAACTACGGATTAATGAATTTTATATTTCCATGTTCTATTTGAAATATATGTTTGCTTTTTCAAACAGGGTTGATACAACGTCCACTGGTCATGTGCTTGGAAACCCACAGATTCGACAGGGCAACCAGATTGTGTGTGAACGAACAATGAACTGCATGGCAACTGCTGTTGTCCGGTTCTTGTTGCATGCTAGCATGCTGCTAGGAACAGAATGCCAACAGGGACCACAGGTTAGCAATTACAGTATATTACCTTACCTTTCAGTAGACTTTGTCCTAAGTTAAAAAATAAATGAACATGCAAAACAGGCTGCATGCACAGTTTACTAGCATCACAAGGGTTTTGTTGTTAAGTGTGAATAAAATACAAATAAATGTCTCAATCCGGTCTAATATGAAAATAATTTTTTAAGAACAATAACTCTGCAATCTTCCAGCATGAGATGAAAACAATTACATTTTTGCTGAGTCGAACACTTTTTTTTATAAAAAAAATTCATAAATTGGTTACCAGTTAATATACAGTTGGTCCTATTTTCTAAGAACGGGGAGCTTAGAAAATATGCAACGCTAGAACAGATTCACTCATGCGTGACCATCCTACATTTTCTGAACAAAATAGAGTTCAGCAAATTGCATCCTAAAATCCATGCAACCGCGAGATCGTATGCGCAGATGAATTCATGTCACGTCAATGCATTGTACGTCCTACGCCATCGTGCAATCAAAAGCTCTTTAACATAGGAACTGTATTTGTGTTTTTAAATTTGCAGGAAAAGTATCTTCTAAATCTTATCTCAATTTGAAAACAAAAATTTGCTTTCAAATACTTAATTTGTTTAGTTTATTAGCTTAACACAGAATTTTTATTTAAATATGTGAAAAAAAACAATTCTTATTTCTATTTCAGCCAATTATCAATATCATTAAACCAGCTCCACTTAATGTGCTTGAGTTTCTATGGCAACATCTACATAATGATGTAAGGTTGTTGTCAATAGCAACAGGCAAGAACAGGGATGATTGCATCTTCATCCTTCACAAAGTTATTGATAACATTTTGCACAAAAGAGTCCCAGGTAAAGTCCTAGAAAAAAAAATTGTAATTGTATTATAATAGCAATATTAATAATTATTTCAATTATAACAAAAGTAATGATGATAATAATGATAATAATAATGATAATAATAATAATAATAATAATAATAATAATAATAACACTTTTAATGTGGTGGCAGTGACGACAAAACAATGTAACAATAAAAAAAATTAAAAGAAAATGTATGATAATGAGAATTAATATAAATTCCAAAATTTAATGATATTACACTGATTCTCTTAAGAGAAAAGTTACGTTCGAAGTTGAATTCATTTTTACAAGGAGAAAGTGTAACTTCACCTTGGTTTCACTGAACTGTGGCTAAACAACAAATTGTAGAATTTGTGCATGTTTCTGGCCTTAATACTACAAAAGTAACATATTTTTACACAAAATATTTTTCTAGCACACCTTCAATCTGGCTTTCAACAACTGTTGCCATCGAAGCAATGTCGAAAAGTATGGGAAGAAAAATTTACAGCTGTGTACATCACACCTCTGCTCCAGGTAGGATTAAAATTAACATACTGTTTAGCAGTATAATAATGATGATTTTTTTACTGATAATAATCATAATTAACTAATGATGCTTAATATTCGTTTGCAATTAATGATTAAAATATCTTTTGAAATTATTAAACTAATCTGTAGGGACTAAATGAAATGATCGACCGATCAAATCAGACTCTAGTCTCTGACAAACGTCTCAGCGATGATCCTCTAATGCGACTGCTGCACACATCAAATGTTGTGAAGCCTGAGGACCTTGGTAAGCTGGTGGAGACATCGCACGTCTGGCAGTACCGTAGTCGTATCACCATTCAGTGCATCCATCAAGCTTTGGCAAATGAAGAAGATGGCGCTTCACTGCAAGTCCTCAGACTGTTTATGGAAAAGGTTATTATCCACTTTCTTTCAATTGCATCATTGGTGCTCTTTCTTGTGAAATGTAGGATGTAAATAGGATAAGATACGATAACCTACTTTTACTGCCATAATCACAATGGAGACCATCATACTGTAGTTACTGTAGGAAAATTTGTAAAAATGCAAATGCACGCATGTCAACCGACATTTTATATTATTCATATTAATGTTTGAGGGAGGCAGTTGGTGCAGGGGTTTGCTGCTTAGGTTTTCAACCTTGTGGTTCAGAGTTTTAGACTCCAGCTGTCCACTTAAAGAAAGTAGAAATGTCTTTATAATCATTTATTGCATCACAATATATTTCCATGAAAGTTTGTGTTGTCAGAAATTTAGTAAATAAAACACGTCTGATTGTCTAGTTTTTAAATTCTTCTGGAGCTAATATTTACCACTTTTTATTACTGTTTATGCACAGGAAAAGCATCTTAGAGTTGTGCGACATTTGCCTGACATTATACGACTTCAACGTCTCCTAATCAACAAATACAACAGGCACATTGATTCGGCTGAAGCTATCAACTTGAACATTTCAAGATTTTTGGATCAATTATATGGTAATCAAAGCTAGCATAGTCATAACTGAGTACCATCTTCAGCATTATAAAACCAAATAGTATTTTTTAAAATATAATAATGGATTACAGTAACAGAGTAAAGTGTGAATTAGGATATATGTGAATTGTAAGAGTTAAATCAACATCAGAATTGTTACCATCATGCTTATCATTTTCCTTATCATCATTAACTTCATCAATAACAGCTTCATCATCCAGGTCCTCATCATTATCGCCATCATTATTGAAAATAGAAAATTATGTAAATTATGTCATTTTTAATATATTTAAATATATACTTTATAGTATTAAACTTTTTTAGCATTGATAATTGAAATAAAATAATGTTTAATACTTTACTGGTGTAATACACTAAAAGTTTTTTTCTTGCCATTGCAGTAACAGAGAGAGAAGAGTTTAAGAGATTGATTGACACATTTATTGATGTTTGGAATTCTGTCAAACTAGATGTCGCATCGACAGGTAGTGGGCTAGTTTTTTATTTTGTAATGACAATAGAACAATTTATTATGATGTGAGATTGCAAGTTTAAATTTGATTTCAATACCAAAATAAAGAAATTTAAAACTATTATTAATGAATTAAAGATAAAGATAAAGATAGTATAATATTTAAAATTCAAACATACATACAGCACAACTAGAACCAAAATTTAGAGTAGAGAGCTGCATAGCTCAATCGGCTGAACTGTTGCTAGCCATTGTTTGTGCGCTGAACCGTGGCAGTCCATCCAGAGCTCTGGTCTCTCGCTCAATTCCTATCGCTGCTCTCCTTATGGTTTAGCTGGCGAGCAAGTTTACAATAGTGCACCATCATTCAGATGAAACATTTAAGCCATTGGTCCCACATGCATTTTAGCCCATGTAATAGTGTGTAGTTTTATATAGCGCACATATCCATCTAATGTAAGATGCTCAGGGCGCTTAATAGTGTGGACTAGGAACTTGATCAATGACTTTCTTCGCCCCTAAGGGTCCCTTCGTGTCTGTGCTACCCGGTAACCCGGTACAGCAACTCTCGTTGTCCACCACAGGGGCTGTCTGTTCCAGTACACCGGGGTATCCCCCTACTCGTCTCGAAGGATGTACTGGGTTCTTTATAGTGCACACGAGCCATTGTATACACTGGGCCTACAGTTTATAATCCTTATCCGAGAAGACATGTGCATGTGAAATAATAAAGTCCACTCTTTGTTATTAAAGAACATAATTTCATATAAATGTTGATGTTTACCTTTCAGTGAAGTTGCCTATCCCAAAAGAGTGCTGTTCAGAGGTCATGTCATATGAGAGTAACATAGCGATGTTGCTACCAACGAGGCGAGACTCTGGTCTGTGTGCTACTGGTCTTGTTGACTTCCTCATCTTTACACAAAATGAATTTCTGGAGAGATACCATAGTATCAAACATTTACAGATGAGGTAATATTTGTTAGAAATATTTAAAATTATTTTGTAGTCTGTCTACAATATAATGAATGAATTTCAACAAATTAATTATTTTTCAATTATATGGGCGCATTCAAACACTAAACTTCTCACAGCAACTTATTTAATTATTTACTACATAATTAAAATTTAGTTTAAAATTTAACTGTTCAGATTTAGGAATTACAATGATAATTATTTTATTAAAATACTTATTAAACTAAGATGCTTTGCATCCTTAGAGTTCCATACTTTTTTTTGTCTCTACTGTCCCTGTGAGGTTGTATACCCTTAGTTTCTCACTTGTGAGTTGTAAGTTCAAAGGTTAAGAGAGGAATTATGGGATACCATTGTATCATAAAAAGCTAAAGATAGAAGTTATCAGTATCCCAAAGGTAAGCCTACGATATATGATGCCATGCCTAGGCTAGACTTGTCAACATCCTTTAACAAAGAAAGTAAAAAAAATAATAAAAAATACTGAGGCAGTAGACACATGCTCACACTAGAATCAAATTTTACCATAATGTGATGTCTTTCTTTTTTCAGCAAAGTCAAAGTTGATCCATCTGACCTGCTTATGTCACACCTGATTGCATATGATCCAGACCGTGACCTGCTTCCACTGATTCTATCCCAGTGCCAATACATTGTAAGACCAATGGCGGAAAATAAAATTGAATACAACCTGCAAGGTTTAGAGCTGCAACTCATTGAGAGGTTCGTCAGGGGGCGTGCATCTATTGATCGCAAATTTGATCAATTATTTTTCCGACAAGACGTCAGGAATGCCTCTATATTTGAAAATCTGAGAGACAAGATACCGCAGGTAAGTAGATATTACCAACACTTTGATTTATTTTTGGGAACAGTATTTTGCTGGGTGTTAATTGACCTTTCTATTAAAACCCACCTGTTGATATTGTTACAATCCCACAAAAGGACAGCGTAAACTTAGGTAAGCATGACAACACATGCGTTTGTGGGACAAGCACATATTCCTGGGCCTGTTATGATTGATCAGTATTGAGTTTAATGACAATTGGGATGGTCCATTATTTTAAAGGTACCTAAATGCTGGGTATAAATTAATGACTATGAAGTGGAATTACTAAAACTAAGATAATAACGAAGTAATGCCTGAAATACACAAATATATTTCTTTTCTGTGTTAGGTTGAGTTGCCGACAGCTGTGCAAAGTAGTATTGTAGCGGACCTTAAATCCTTCCAAGATCTTTGCAAATCTTTAGCATCACTCGATATCGCTATTGGATTCTTGGCAAACTACAAGGCAGAGGGAGACATGCTGATAAAGAAATACTTGCAAGATAAACTAGCCATGCCATTGGAGAAAGGACTTTGTAGCTCAACAGTAAGAAATTATTTGTATAATCTTTGAAAAACACTGAAAGAAAACCCTCTGGTTCGTACTTGATTATTTTTTTCAAATGTTTTATAAAAAAAAAATCATAACTTTGAGAGTTTTATTGTAATTTACTAACATTCTCTTGCAGGCATCACAGCAATGTCGTCTGAAGCATGTTTTGGCACTCTGGCAAGTTCTTGCAGTAGAGAAAGCTCTTCGACTTGCCAATGATGCACGGGTAATTTTATATTTTGATCCACCCCACAAGCTTTTATAAAAGAAACAATGTAGTAAAAAACTTGAAAACTGAAATTTTATACTTTATACCTACGAGTCATGTAATTTCAAAAAGCGCCCTTGTTTTTACCGTTTTCAGGATCCATTTGATGGAATTGGAGAAGAATATCGAGAGGAGTTGGACCAAGAGCAAAAGAAAGATCTTACTGCAAATTTACGATTCATCAAAGTGGACCTACTTTGTGCAGAGCTTTATGAGTATATTGTACTGAATCTTGGACGCCAATCTACCAACACAGAGGAAGAAAGGACAAAGTGGCCGTGAGTATAAAATACTTAAGTACTATAAATATATTGTAGACAGAACATATGGCTCATTGACATTGAGAACTGATGTTTAAATCATTAAGAAAGAATTCTGCAGCTAATGAGACTAAAAGAGTTACAGAGTCTTCTAACAATTGCTATAGAAACTGACCCTGTGATGGCCCAGTAGATTTTCAGTCAGTTCCTTGCTAAAATCATATAAGTTGTAGATTGTTCATACATTTTGTACTGAACCTAGCTGCAAGTATGTGAGATGCTTACGAAAATGCAAATTGCATTCTTTGAATTGATCCCACTTATGGCTACCATCAGG